TTCCAACTCCTCATGTTTTGTGATTCTGTGAAACATACAGAGGTGTGAGCCCCTGGGGGAGCTTATGGTTTGTTTTAAAGAGATCTGTTTCCAAGTCTTTGCAATTTGTTTATTGTAGAAACTGGGCATATAAAAGGCTTTGTGTACCTCGTTTTCCCCATGAGACTTTTGGTGCTGTAGTTGAGTTTTTATTGTGTGTCCAGCTGACTTAGTTCTGCTGTCTCTGGTGTCACGTACTGACTGGTTAGAACAGCAGTCTGTTATAGGTAGGTCATTTGGAAAAAAACCCCAAAAACCCAGCCAACTTTAGCTCTGGAATTGTTGGTCATCACTAAGATTTCTGGCACAGCATCTTCTGCTACTTCAGTGTTTGAAGTAAACCCAGGAATAAGCTTTAAAACCTGCTCTCTGTGCTGTGTCCAGTGACGCTTTGGCAGCAGCAGCAGCAGCAGCATATGGTGTCCCTCTCTCATGATTCATTCCCACCATGTGCTACCACTGGCTCGGTTGTACCAATGCAGCTGCTTGTGGCACTGCTCGGTAAACTGGATGAAACAACTTCTCACTGCTTCTCGGGGTTTGGAAATCTGAAGGCAGCTTCACCGCTGGAGAGGTCGTGCCCGTGATGGTGGATAGAGCGTGGTAGCAATCTGCCCCACAGCGAGAGCAGCGGTGGAGTCTGGGATGGGGAGTTACGGTTGCATCTTCTGGTAGAACAGTGCTGTGGTATTAGAATACATCCACTCTTCTGTCGCTGTTTGCTTGTAGCACTTAGACCCTTTGTGGTCAAAAATATTGTGCTGTATACTGCCAGTAACAGTGTTCAACCACTATTAATAATACAATGCTTTTTTTTTTGGTAATGTTTTCAGTAATTTTCTATTAAAAGGCGTTTCAACTTTAAGGTTTGCAAAATGCAAGTGATATTTCTAAGCCTCTAATTTGACAGAATTTACCTTCTCTCCCCCCCAGCCTGTTAAATTAAGATCTTGATGCAACTGTTCTGGAATAAGAGATGCAGTCCTGCTGTCAGCTTTTGCTGTCAGTGTTGTTCTCCATTTCACTCACTGCCTTTGCAATAGGTGGTTACACACACACCTCTCTCTGCGTTTGACTGGAGCCCTGAAACGGGGTGACTGATTTTTTTGATGTATGATGAAATTCACACTCACTCTTCTGCCAAAGCTCAAAAATACTCGCCAGATTTCATTTAAGGTGATTCATGTTGTTTTAGAAATGTAATTCCTACCATTTTAGAAAAGGATGGACTGCTTTTGCATCTTCTTCCTGCTGGTTTTCCTCCAAATTCTTCCTCTCCAACATCCTGCTGCGTCTTTCTGGAGCAAGGTTTCTGCACTGCTTCCCACTGCTGATAGATTTTCAGTAGTGTGTGTGTACGGACATTGATGGTTCCTTAAGCACTGTGTGTTGTAGTCACCACGGTGCCTGTTGCAGCTCTGTGACAAAGCTCAAGGTGGTCTATGTTCACGTAGCACAGAACCACGTGTGCTCCCAGTGGGAAGACTGTGGATACAGGTAAAGACTTGACAGAAGGGACAAAGCTGAGTTGTATGGATGATCTTGAAGAGGAAGTTGGAGGGGCTTTTATATAAGACATTTATAAGTGAAGCACTTCACTTATAGAAATGTTGCTCATTTTCCTTAGTTCCTTTGCTATATTGATGGTGTTAGAGCTCTGATCTTTCTGGAATGGGCAATACAGTTCCTCCCACTGTTTGTTTCTTCTGTTTGAAGCGGTGTATTTGCTGCTGGTTGCAAGTGGAGGATTACTGGCAGTACCTCAAAGGCGTGTGAGTGAGGAGATGCAAGTTCCTTCTTGCTCAGGCTGGCGGTGGAAGCTGCAGCATCCAACAGGCGTACAACAAATGACTGCTTGTAGTTGCTCCATGCCATCTTCAAAGTTCCTGCTGTTCATGTGATGAAAATTTAGAATGACTTGAGTTCTAGGCTATATCCATGTGATTAGCAAACCTATTCTTCACGTATCAGGGAAGGGACAGAGAAGCCTTTAAGTGTCCAATATCTCCTGTAACAATTCCCCGGTCTGCCTAGGAATGCTGTTTGATTGCTGATCTTTTAGTGTGTATTTTTCTAATGCTCAGTACAAGCTTGCTTTACTGTAGCTCAAGCCTATTAAGTTCTGCCTGTTCTGTCACTGATTAGTGAGAATAATCTGTTCTTGGCTTCTTTAGAAAAATTCTTGATGTATTCTAATCTGGGTGCTATGGCTGGCTGCATTTCAAAGAACGGCTTTCCTTGCATGTGCTACTTTCTGAACTTTTTATCTGGTGTCCTCTAAATGATGCAGTTTCTTGAGGTCTGTTTGATCCTGAATTGAGTGAATCAGTGAAAATAATAATAGAGTGCAGGCCAGCAGTGGATAGCTTGGTTTATTACAGAATTTTTGGGCCGGCCTTTGTGGTGAACTGTTTAGGCAGTAGACTGTACAGACAAGAAGCGTGACTCTCGGAGAGGGTGTGTGTACAGGTGTGTGTGAACCTACAGATGACAGCACATCCTGTTACTAGGCCTGCTGTCATGATCCATTTCCACTTGCAGGTACCTCTAAGGACTTGTCCCTTTGCCTGTGGGAAACTGTCTGACAGCAGCAAGGCAAGGCTGTGGGAATTTGGCTAATCTGTACTTACGCGGTTGGAATGCAGCCAGTTGTCATGAGCTCTCAACTCACTGCATCTCCGCTTCACTGTTGTCTTTCTGGCCTGTGAGCTCTTCAGAATGGCTTCTGCGACACCGAGTCTCGGCTGCGATAAGAAACTGTTAGCAATATTAAAAACACTTGAAATGACTGTAATTGAGAGTGCTTTCCCTAACCTTTTTTTAAATTTTTTATTTATTGCTTTGTGCAGGACTTTCCTTCCTGGGTGAAGAATGCAGACTATCAAGTGCGTCGTTGTCGGAGATGGCGCCGTGGGCAAAACTTGTCTTCTCATCAGCTATACCACCAATGCGTTCCCAGAAGAGTACATCCCTACTGTGTTCGACAACTACAGTGCCCAGATGACTGTTGATGGCCGGACAGTTAGCCTGAATCTCTGGGACACTGCAGGTCAGGAGGAATACGACCGCCTGCGCACGCTCTCGTATCCCCAAACCAATGTATTCGTCATCTGTTTCTCCATCGGTAGCCCCTCTTCCTATGCAAATGTGAGGCACAAATGGCATCCTGAAGTTTCTCACCACTGTCCGAATGTCCCCATTCTTTTAGTGGGCACGAAGAGAGACTTGAGAAATGACCTGGAAACAGTTAAAAAGTTGAAAGAGCAAAGCTTGGCTCCCACTACCCCACAGCAGGGGACTTCGCTGGCTAAACAAATTGGAGCAGTCAAATACTTGGAGTGCTCAGCATTGAATCAGGAGGGTGTTCGGGAGGTGTTTGCCGAAGCTGTGCGTGCAGTCCTGTATCCCGTGACAAAGAAGAACACAAGAAAATGTGTCTTGTTGTAGTTACCTCGGATGATGGATGTTCAGAGTTGATACTGACTAGAACCTTGGAGGGTTCTGTAGTGAGTTAAATTGAAGAGTTTCATCTTGCACTAACAGCTGTAAGCAGAACTGGTTTATGCAACGAATATTCTTGCAGTCTTATTGCTTCAGGGAAACTGAAACAGAACAGGTTGTTTTGTGGTTTGTTTTTTTTTCCAACGGAGAGGTCAAATACCTGCTTTATTTCTAAAGTTCCAGTCTCCAGCTTCTCCAGGGATCGCTTGGCTTCTGTCCATATTTAGCAGAGGAAAACAAAAGAAGCGACTTCTTTGAAGCCAGACTTTTTTACTAGATAGCCATCAGTTACTAGATTTGCTGAAAAGCACCAATTCTGGTAACTTTGCTTGAAGCATCGCTGCTGCTTTTCCCATCCCATACATACTGATTGAATTTGTTTTACAAACAGAAGTCTCGCTATTCGGTTGTTTTGATTTGTCAATTTAAAGCTTGAAAACTACTTGTTTACATGCAAAAATGCCTGAAATATTACTGAGATTCACGTTACAGTGAGCTGTGATGGTTTATATGAAGAGCTAGCATAAGGCATGTTTAATGGAGTAAGCAAGACCCAGGGAACACCTGCAATGATTTTATCAATAGAAGCAGGAGCTGATTTCTCCTAATGTAAGGAACTTAGGATAATTCTGAGTTACTCAAATGAGTGATATTCATCCTTCTGAATTGGAGAGGTGGAAGAGTAGTTTAGGTGCAAGTCTTCCGTAATCATCTAAACTGAGTTTTTATTTCAATCTCCAAAGAGACTTTGCATCCTGAGAGTACAGTTGACAGTTTCCTTCTTGGACTGATTGAGGTAGTTGGGATGACACTTCTCAAAATGGGATTTTCAGTACAGTCCCTTTGATTAATCCCAGAAACTTGACAGCAGCCCGTTTATTCTTGAGGAATTAATTGCTTCGTTTCTTAATGTTCTTGGGGCCAGCAGCTAAGATTTTTTTTTTAATGGCAAATTCCTTTGTTGTTTTTCTGGGAGAACACTGACAGAAAACTTGGGGGGTTCTATTTACAGGAGCCCTCATTTCTTCCTGGCAACTCAGTGATGGTTTGGGTTCAGTTTGTAGTTGTTAGCCAGTCACTGGATAGGTTTACCTGGGCAGTTTTCTCTTCTCTACTAGGTGATCAGTCACTATAATCTCTTTTAACTGGAGTTCTATTTACGTACTTTTAATCTGTCTTTAGCAGCTCTAGTGAGTGGCAGCTGGCTTTTATTTTCAGGATGTGCACTGTTCTTTATGTGTGATTCCGGGACCAGCTGAGGAGTGAGTGTATGAAACCTTCCTCAGACTTAACCTTACAGCTCGGGGGTATGAAAGCAGCGTGCTTCAAAGATACTTTGTGTGAAACCAATGGTGCTGGACTGGGCTTTGTTGTCTGAAGTTGACAGTGCTGTCTTTGTCCGGATGCAGCCTCAATTGGCAATTCAGAACTTGCTTTCTTGTGATTCCCACACATGCAGAACTGCACTGGTGTATACCCTGGGCAGAGAAAAAGCCTCGTTTGAGCAAGATAACTGAAAACACATCAACAAGGTTATTAGGGATCTTGTGTTAATTTGACCTTGCTTTATCCGATAAGGGCAAAAATACCAGGTGGATAGAAACATTTGTGTTTGTCCCCTAATTCCCTTCTTTGGAGGGGATGTGCCTTTCTTCAGCTGGTGTAACTGATGCTGACGCTAACTGTGATTTTTGTATAGCTGAGGTATGCTTGTCCTGGTACTGCTTTAGCAAACTGCAACCCATAGATTGTAAACCGCAGTTAATCCCAGTACTGGTGTCTGTGGCTGGTGAGCCAACACCGAGTGCCAGACGCTGCCTGCTCACAGGCAACACCAAAACACCCGCTATGCATCGTGTCTGCAGAAGCCTGGAGGCTCTGCGTATTTGCCTTCACCAAGTGCCATTGCCTGGAGTGTCTTTGCATCTTTTGCACTCGTAGAAGTGCCCTTCCAGATGTGGCTCCTGCCGCAGTCCCCTGGAGGTTGTAGGAGTGTTTCAGTGACGTAACCTCGACTCACCGCGTTCTGCCTTTAGTAGTAGGCCTTTAGTGGGGGCTCGACTTGCAGGCAGCAATTAACTCTGTGCCTTGTAATTCAAGATTATTTTCTCTAGGTAAATTTCAGTAACCAAGTAAATAGAGTTTATCATGTTTAAAATGTATTTATTTCAGCCAGTGCACATTTTTTTTTGTTGTTTCAAATGCTGGTCAGGCCTGAATCAACTGTCTAGTTGCCCTGGTGCAAGCCCATAACCTTTGCTTCATTCAGAGATGTACTTTAAAAAGTTTGTGCTATGTTTAAACTGCTCTTAAACAGATTTCTAACTTCAACAGCAGGCACTTTTTTTTTTTTTGCTACATATATTTGCAATTTTGTACTGAAGCAACTACTGTTTTAAAAAGTTTTTTTTTTCTTTTGTTTTTTTTTACATACTGAAATCTTTTCGTTCTGCATCTTTTCTTTCCTAACTGGATTACAAGAAGTTTGTGGAGAAGAAATCCTGTGAGCAAGTATTATTGCACACCCAGCGCCCGTTTCCGTAGGCTCACAGAACAGCCGCCCTGAAGTTAACTGGAAGAGAGCATGGCGAGATAAAACTCAGCTACTTAATTTAGTTGAGCTGATTACGTTATTGATTACATCACGCTAGACAATTAATCCCCATCTCGATTGCTTAATCAGCGGACTGGATTGCACAACAGTACTGAGGAGAGCAGCACAGTAGTGATGCGTAGGAGCAGAAAGTGAACTTTGAACACTGTCAAAAGCTTTTTCCTGACCTTGGAGTACCTCGTTAACAGTCACTGAGATGCCTCGTCTTGCTGTCGCTTTCTGCCAGGAGCAGACGTCCTGCTGGCTGATTTCCTCCAGCCTTTGCCTTTCATGAGAATGAGCTTCAGGAGTGTGCGGATCCAGCAAAGCTTTTCCGTTCTGTGGGCACTCTCGGTTTGCGATCTGCCCCTTTTTTGTTTGTTTTTTTTTTCTCTTGCAATTCTTGGTGCATTTTATCGCACGTAGTCCAGTGCTTCAGTCTACAATCCATTCCATTCCTCCCACATTTTTTTTTGTTTCCCCTGTGGGCAGGTAACAGATTCAGGCTTCACACAAATCCCACAGCTGATTTTTTGTCTGTTTTTGGGAGATCAGAAAACTTGGGTTCAATGGTGCAGATTTCCCGAACTGTTCAAGATTCCTCAGTTTTGTTACTGGCTAGAAAAGAAGTGCGTGTGTCTTAATTCGCAGAGGAGACTCTATGAAGAGACCAATTTTAGTCTTTCAGTTTATGAATGATTTCTAAATACTTCAGTGGGTTTTTTTAAACATAACTGAAGCCATCCCTGGGGAGCTGAGCAGTTGAGGAATTCTGTGTCCAGAGGCTGTTACGTGGTGTGCGTACATGTGTAAGTGCTTTCTCTGGTTTACAGCTGTAGCTATTTCTACAAAATTTAAAAACCAGCAGAGCCTTCCTGTGCTTTTTGTCTCCAAGGGCTTCACCTCGCTCTGGAAACCTGGGTGCTGCTTGGGCTGCTGAATCTCACAGGGATGGGCTGCAGCAGTGGGAGCCCAAGACTCTGAAGTGTGGTACTGATACATACACTGGCAACTTGATTTTATACTATATTTGTGTTAGAGCTAACAGTTTTAAAGATTTTTGTTTGTTTGTTTGTTTGTTTTAAATTATGCAGACTTTAAGTTGTAATAAACCTTTCCTCTTCTCGCTGGCTCTTGTGTTAACTCACCCCGCTGTTCTAAGCGTAGTTCTTTCCTGTGGAAAGCCCGACCCCGTTTCTCACAAAAATAAAGGATTTTTCGGTGAACGCGGAGCCTCTGCGCTTCCTTGGGGCGGGGCGGCGGCGGTGGCGGTGGCGGTGGTGGCGGCTCCT